TGTGAACGCTAAGAGTTCACTGTCTACATTTCAACAGTTTATACTGACACTAATGAAATTAAGATTAAACCAACCCCTGCAAGAGCTGGCTTATAAATTCAACACATCCACGTCTACAGTATCCCGTGTGTTTACCTTGATTATCGACGTCATGTTCAAACGTATGAGTTTCCTTTTTGAAGTGGCCATCTCGAGAGGAACTCCAACTGACAATGCCTATGGATTTCCACACTCATTTTGGTACTAAAGTGGATGTTATAATAGACTGCTTTGAAGTTTTCATTGACAGGCCATCAAATGTAATGGCACAGGCTCAGACTTGGTCAAACTACAAACATCACAACATCATAACATTTCTGATAGGAATCTGTCCGCAGGGTGTTATATCATTCATTTCAAGGGCATGGGGTGGCAGGTCCAGTGATAAGCATATTACAGAAAATTGTGGCTTCTTAGATAACATTTTGCCTGGTGATTTGATTTTGGCAGACCGAGGTTTCAATATAAGTGACTCAGTGGGTTTCATGTGTGCTGAGGTTAAGGTGCCTGCATTCATGAAAGGCCGGAAACAATTATCAATGAAAGATGTTATTGACACAAGGAAAATTGCTAACGTGCGAATTCATGTTGAGCGTGTCATACAATAGGATGTGTAAGGCAGCGATATACCATTTTGGGAGGACCAATTCCTATAGATGTTTTACTTTCTAAAGATGTAGATGGGATTACATTGATGGATAAAATAGCTGAAGTGTGCTGCGACCTGAATAATTTGTGTGACACTGTACTACCCGTTGATTGAGCCTTTACATTCTGTTACACCCCAATCAACCCATATCAGATTTAAAAATATTACATGTTTGTATTGTAATTATTATTACATTATTGTCAATGTTGTACTTGGTCAATTAAATGTCTTGATAATCAGAGCAGTGATTTGGGGTTTGGTTGTGTAGGGGAATGTTTGAAAAATTATTTAAGCTGTTTTCATGCATGGAAGATTAATGTTTTTCTCAAGTTTTCTATTGTCAGATTGGACCCATTCCAAATTGCTTGAATGTGGTTTCAGACCTGCACTGCACACTGTAATAGTACTGGTAGAATATTTAAGCTTGGGTAAATACATTTTGAAAAAAAACAATTGAAAGGGCAAAGTATTATATTTATTACAGGTTTTCAATGTACACATTGAAAAAGGGTGAAAAACAAGTACATGCTCCTTTAACTGTACGCTGCAGAGATCACCTCACATAACAGAGATAGATTAACATTGTGTCCATATTACAGTTTTTTTCAAAGCTAAAACACATTTTTTTTAAAGCAGGGCTTATTTTCTCAAAACACTAAACACAATTCACAAAACCATACACACAAAGTGCGAAACACCTACTGCAGAATGAAGCACTGCACCCAGAACTACAGAAACACCAAACTTTTGCACCAAATGGCACACACTTCATTTATAGTACAAGACATTTTGTAAAACCAACTACACACCATCGTGCTCAAGCACACTCATCTTTTATGGCGTTTGATATCGAGAATTCTGCAAATAAAGATTGTTCAAGTCTCCAAAATATGTGCATAAACACAAATATAGGCTACTGTTGTTATACTTTTACTTTTCAAAAAGTGGAAAGTTGAATTGCACATTGGGTGGAGAGCTGAACATGTGTTTAGAGTTTTGGATATTTGAGCTGAGGTTTTGTCCTTTCAGTGTCAGTTTAAATAATGATGCTTTTGTGTCATTTTAGTGTGCACAACTTTTTTTGATTGTTACACTTACATGTTCTTTATATAGATTTGATGTAAAAGAAACATGTTCAATCAAATAAATATATACACTGTCATTCAGATTGATTAGTACTTCTGTCCACAGCACTTGCAGGACACAACACCATCTGGAGTAGCACCTAAATATGGAAATGTTGGCGATAACACGAGCCCAGAGTCCTGGCAAATGAAACCGTCATGTCGATTCATAATTGTAATGTAATCTTCACGTGCTGATTTTTCGTGATTACATCCCCATTCAGTAGCTGCAGTTTTAAATGTTGTGGCTTCTGGGTAACAAATGAAGCTTAGCGCAAGTTCAATCAGGAAGACCAAGCTCTTCATTCATATTACACGTCACCTCATTACTCTTCCCTCTGTCAGCTGTCATTTCAGGTGACAATACGCAACCCTCCTCCACCCCTTTCGCCTCCCGTCTCCTTCAGGACCAAGCTAAACCTTCTCACTTCAGGCCAGTCCCACCTACTTATCACCACCACCAGTGTCTAGACCCCGGGGGGTTTCTTCGGAGCGGTTCTTCCCCTCCTGAATGATAATCCTGCAAACTGGGGCCTAATCGCCAAACCCCATTCCATTCTCCTGTTATAATTGTGGCAATCATTATACATTCATATTACGTGTCCCGGTAATAAATATGTATTTCATACATCAACGTCTCTCCTGATTGAAATAGCTTTAATCAAGCTAAGTGATGGTTTAGTTGCACTTGTTGAACATGCTGCCTTCATACGAGATGCTGTAATCCGCCCAGCTCTGTATCGATACCAGAGTTTGGATTTGGCCTGTGTTTTTGTGGCCTTCTCAAAGACATCCGCCTCCGGCTTGGTGATAGCTACATTGATCCCTTGGCAATGTTCTGTAAGGGCTTTATGGTCCATTTCTAGGCAGTTCTCACTTTTTAAACTAGAAAGCGCCTTAGGAAATGTTGACAAAGTCACTTTTGGGACAAAATCGGCATTGTGTGGAGCTGAGATTGTCAATATTGCACACTTCCTTCCAGTAGATTTCAGTGATGCCAGGAAAGACTGTTGCTCAGCATCTGTCGCTTTTGTAATCTCCCTCGAGTGACGTAAAAGTGGTGTTGTTGTTGTTGTTAAATTAGCTGCATCGCCAAGGCTGTCAATTGCTTGGCTTAAACGATTCCTTCGGGTTTTAGCCGAAGTAAAGTCAATGTCAGCAACAGGGGAAGGTGTTACATCCTTCACTGATCCAGGTAGAAGCCAATACGCCTTTTCCTGGGTAACTGTCTAGGCATCACGTATCCGTATAGATGTTTCTATGTAGAAAAGGAGAGATGCAACATGGGTACATGTTGATCCCAAACCAGCCTTGCAGTTGCAGTTAGCTGTGATGACTGCACCATCCTTCTTCATCAGTACCCACCGACATGTTGGCGGCAGCCCAATACTCTGAGAATGCAATACCTGAAAAATAAAATACAAAAATATTATTGGATTGTTGACTTTTTAGAACCACCAATATTTTGGTCCAACTTTACTTTCAAATACTGATTGTTTACACAACCAGTGGGTGGTCAGCTCTAGTCATATTCCTATGCTAGGTAGCGCATAACAGAAGCTGACAACCAAGAATAGGTTCACAACTTTTGTAATTTAAATATATTGCAATATATAATAAAGCTTTATTTATAAAGCCCTTTTCATAAAGCACGTGTAGCTCAAAGTGCTTTACAAAATGGCACACATCACAAGTTAAAAATAAACCACAAGAAATTCCCCTCAGATCAGATGTACTTTACAGGTACATGCAGCATAGCAACAACATATAACATTTTAACAGGTTAAGAGACACGAGGAGGTAAAAGGTATGATAATCAAAATAAATAATAAGACACAAGACTAAGTTAATTGATGCAACAATATAAAACCCTATAAAATAAAGTAAACATATAGATATAGCCAGGTACAACAAAAATAAAAGCTGGTGTTTAAAAATATCCACTGAGTTGGCCTATGATATTTCTTGGTAGCGTAGTGGATAAAAGCAGCCTCACCCATTTTATTTTGGGGGACTTTAGGGATATTTAAAAAGCCAGCTGAAGAGGACCTCACGAAATATTTACTCACTTTTCCAGCTATTACAGCCACATCTCCTTGATATGCAACGCAAACGTCGCGGATCCACCCGGATGTGAACTGGTTATGTGCCTCGAGTCCTTTGTACGCTTTCATTTCCTCCATGGTGTACAATGGAATAGGCGAAAAAACAGGTAGTTCACGATATCACAGTAGGAAAGTGAAGGCCATGAATTTATATCAGTGCTGTAATCGTTAACGGGAATCAAATAAGGGTCCACCGAACCAATCGACGCACATTTTTCTCTGTAAACGGTCTTATCCTCCGGGTTTAGTGATTCGTAGTAGCCTTTCATTTTCGCCATTTTTGAACGCTCCCGCCAGTAGAGTGGTACTCCAAGATGTCTGACGAGAAATCCTGTGACGTCATTAGGAAGCCTCTATATAATCTGTGGAGTCTCAGCTTTAATCGGATATCTTGTATGTGCAGTTACGATAAGTAATAAGGGTATCTTTACCTTGAGTTCTGTGCCAAATGCGTTAGCATTTTTTCCGCTCAGGGGTTATTTAGATGTTTCTTATGAGACTTGTGTTTTGTTTTGGTAAAAATGGTTCTTATCGTCAGTTAGCTGAGATTCTTCCCGTTAATCTGGTGTAACACAATCGTAGGTTTTTAAATATTAAGATGCCCTGAGACAGTGTCGTATAAAAAAAAAAAAAAAACCCGCCGAAGGGGTCTTTGGGGCTTAACAGGTTTTAAACAACATCGTTATGGGGAAATGCAAGTTTGCGTCCAAATGGTTGGAAGATAAGGAGGGAGGACAATCAATACTGTATATAGTAAATGTGAGATAAAGTGTGTCGCCAATGTAACCGGTTAAAAGTGGCGATGAGGTCTTAAAATGTATGGAAAGGGTCTTAAAAAAGGTCTTAAAAGGTATTACATTTGACTTCAGGATTCCTGCATATACCCTGATCTGACAAAATACTCAATGACTTTAAGACAGGCTCATGTTAGCTGAATATGATGGGGGTGCCTATGCTATATTGTCAAACTGAACTGCTAGATTTGCCCAAAATGTATTTGCTTCATCTGTTTCTCTGCTGTCAGTTCTGACCTCCAGCTTCTGACACGGCGAGGGACAGAAGTTGAATCACAGTACACACACCGTTTGGTTCACAGATTTATTCAAGTTGTTGTCTTAGCTCAGTGATGGCTGGTAACAAGAAATGACATTTATACTAATTCAAAAGGTAACTGTAATCTCTTACAGGTACATCAAATAAAACCTAATCAGATTACTGTTACATTTCTTCAAATTGGGTATTACAATGCTGATAAAAACCTAAAAAGATCATACAGTGTCTGTTGTAAAGGATCAGATGTTGTCTCTTCTCTGTGAGCTGTACTGTTCTGTAGGCTGGCTTATATCTAACTACAAAGGCCGACTCAAACTGAGCCTGAAAGACACAGACAGAGAGGAGTCCAGAGAGGAGTCCAGAGAGGAGTCCAGAGAGGAGTCATGCAAGCTCTGCCAGGGAACGCCTCCTTTAGACGCCCGGCAGCTCCTGTTCAGGAGGGAGAGCGTCAGGTGCTCCTGCTCCAGCATTCACCTCCAGACAGGGAGCAGAGAAGAAGCAGAGAGAGATGTAACACTTTAACTCAGCTGATATCAGTGAGTGCACCAGAGAAGGACTTCAGTATCTCTCCCAAAATGCAGTTATATTGCAAAACAATTTAGGGAGTGTGGCCTTTATCAAATAATATATACACAAAATAAATAAGAGAGCCTTAGCAGGATTTGGAAGTGTCTCTGTTGAAAAAGTTAATAAAGAACTACTTTAGCAACACAGAATGGGACAGTTAGTGTAAATGTAACAATATTTTCCACAAGCGTTGGTAAAGAATTGGAGCTGGTGGTTTCCTGAGGAGTCCATGTGATGGGGTCTGAACAAACACACTACAACAGTAGCTTCTAACACACACACACACACACACGAGTTCAGAACTGGGACTAAAGTAACACACGTCTACTTAGGAGAATAAAGCTGGTGAGATGAGGTGAGAGGTTGGAGTGCGAGACGTTTCTGATCAGGTGTTCCCGCTGCATGTTAGCATAGGAGCTACTTCCTGATAACATCTGGCTGAACATTGTTAATTCTTAGCTGTCTTTGGTTTAACATTTTATAAATCACATGTAATCTCATTTTCAGGTGAATGATGATACTAAACTCAGTGACTATCCTGGATCATGTACCCTACAGCAGGCTACACGACGCTGTAAGATCACTGTTTACTAACTCACAAGAGGACTATATTTTATCATCCTTTCTTTCACATTTTTCAACATCTCATTCCAGGAATTTCCAGGCTCCAATTCCCTTAAATTCAAGGACCCAAAACACCATAACAAGGCAGTTTCTCAAGGCAGGTGGAGTGTTGACACAATTGCGGGAGACATAGAAATGTAAGCACTTTAAATGACCATAAATGTCTATTTTTAAAGCTTCCACCTGGGGAGCCGGCCCCCCGATGCCTCGCTGACCCCGTGCAGGTTCTGCTGCTGTGACATCACTCCTGCTAATATTACATCTGAGAAGCTTTGGTGAAGTGTTACTGTGGAGCCAGTTCTCCTCTGATGTGGCGCTAACATGCTCTGGTTCATTATGCAGCTGTGTTTTCATCACAGAGCGCTGATGCTGTGGCTAATAGCTCATTGTATGAGAGTCTTGGAGTGACAGAGAAACAACATTATTTTTAACATGAGAACAAGCGAAAGAGAAGAGCGAAGGTGTGGAGAGTCGTGATGCGTTCGGATGCGGTCAGCAGAGTGTCCTGTTGGCTTTAGAGCCGGTGATGTGTTCAGGGGTCTACAAAGGACACAGCGATGTAGCGCACCCCCCAAGTGGTGGGCAGGCCTTCGTGGTAGTGCGTGAGGCGGCCCGGGTGCAAAAGGGTCCAGCCTTTACGAGTGGCCTCGATGGAGCAGTCGTAGCGGAGGAACCGGCAGCCTCCACCCTGCAGCACAACACACACATCAGCCTCTGCTCCTCACACACACCGGGGGGATATTTAAACCCCTCCCCTTATTAGAGTTTGCTTCATTTTGTACCTATTTAACAGCTTCAGCCTTTCACATGCAAGTACACTTACCAAAGTGCAACAACTAAATGTCACTGAATGTAATGTGCCTATACCTACAGAAAATGGTTAGGGCCAAACGCTTTTTTAATTCTGACACAAAGTTCATTCTTTTATTAAATTCGGAGATTCAAGTCAGAAATCTGAGAAAAATGATCAGAAGAAGTTAGATTTTCTTTTTTTATAATTCTGACTTTAATCTCAGAACTACAAAAAAATCACTTTTGGCTCAATCCAAATACATTCAATTCAATGTTAGCCCTAATCTTCTTCCATAAATACCAGCTTTATATGTATGTGCAATTTGACTTCTTCTACAAAACATCAAATTGTACTTAAGAAATGTCAATATAAGAAATGTTAGGTTCAATCCTCACAAAGCCCACGTATATAGGCCTATATGTTTCAGTAATAATGAATTAGCATTTGATTTGTCTAAATATGAATCCACATAGCATGATAATAACATGGCCTAATGTCTAAGGGTTTAGTCCAGGTTAAAGAAACACCAGGGATGCAACAATAAAAACAAGGCCCCCAGCTTCATGCAACAACAACAACAACAACAACAACAGACTGACAGACAGGGATAGTTTGAAACAAAGCAGACGTGTGTGTACATGCCAGAGACATGATGGCATTCCATTTACTATGAGATGAGCCATGCTGTCCCCCTGTGCTGCACTCGGCTCTCTGTGCAGGCCTGGGGAGGGACTGGTTACATCTAACAGGATTATCAGGATACTAATTCAAAAGGTAACTGTAATCTCTTACAGGTACATCAAATAAAACCTAATCAGATTACTGTTACATTTCTTCAAATTGGGTATTACAATGCTGATAAAAACCTAAAAAGATCATACAGTGTCTGTTGTAAAGGATCAGATGTTGTCTCTTCTCTGTGAGCTGTACTGTTCTGTAGGCTGGCTTATATCTAACTACAAAGGCCGACTCAAACTGAGCCTGAAAGACACAGACAGAGAGGAGTCCAGAGAGGAGTCCAGAGAGGAGTCCAGAGAGGAGTCCAGAGAGGAGTCATGCAAGCTCTGCCAGGGAACGCCTCCTTTAGACGCCCGGCAGCTCCTGTTCAGGAGGGAGAGCGTCAGGTGCTCCTGCTCCAGCATTCACCTCCAGACAGGGAGCAGAGAAGAAGCAGAGAGAGAGAAGACCCCCCCCCCCCCCCATCCTCACATCCTCCAGCTGCTCCACATTTACCTGGTAGTCTACTTCCTTGCTGTTCAGAGCTATGTTAACAGTGAACGTGGAGGCGTCGTGGTGAGGCGCAAGCAGCGGCTGCTCATCAGGTTTGTACCTCACCACGAAGTTCAGAGGGGTGGCGCACTGAGGGGAGAGGACACGTTAGGCAGCAGCAGCATACACACTATTCACTTCATCCATGGGGTAGAGTTACAGGTATATTTACTCTATTACTGTTGGGGGGTTTCTTTGAGAGTTTCTTCTTGCAGGGGTCTAAAGCTGCATTCACGTGATACACAGAGTGACATTATATGATATGTAGTGAGATGATATGATAACTCGGTCAAATGATCTTATATGCAATCATGTACATATATGATGTCTTATACTCTGATGGGCTCTACTCTGATCTGTTGAATTGTATTTGTTAGTCTTGTATGTGTGGCACAGAGACATAGGTTTGACATTCCAGAAGGGTAAAAGGTGGATTTGCAAATGGTTAAGGACTGGGGGGTTTGGGTGGAAAGGTTGAGATAATGTCTAAGATAATGAATGGGAAGGATCGGTTGGCTGCTTTCTTTCTTCTACATAGTGGGACTGTTAGCTGTGTTCCGGGTGCAGAACCTCTTCAACCTTTGAGGATGAATTTCCAGCATTTGAGATCTATTTCAATTGAATTTGACTTTCATAATGACTTTATGAATAGACACACTTGTTTATGAATCATTGATCAGTTTCTCTTAAGGGAACAATCATGTCCCCCACATCTAGATATCTTTCTATAGTAACGTCCCCTGCTAGCCTGCTCCACTTCATTCAGCTGTCGTCTGATTGGTCAGCCTACTCTGGAACACAACACAGTGCAGGGCCGTTTTACCGTGCGTCATGTGAAGGCAGCTTCAAGACAGAAGGGGTACACACTGTAAAGACCCCTGAGGCATGTGTCGTTTGTGATAATGAGCTATATAAATACACTTTGATTGATTTATTGACTCTACTTAAGTACTATTTGGAAGGACTTGTTCTTTACTTGAGTATTTAACCACTACATTTGTTAATACCTTTAGTGACTTTGCAGATTTGGATTAATGATGAGAAATATAATCAACACTTAAATAAGACTGTACTGTAATGTACTGTAAGTACTCTACTTATTACCATAGACATTTGAAGTACTTATACTTTAGGTTTTTCTTTCTGTACCACTTTATACTTCTACTCCTCTACAATTCAAAGGAAAATATTCAGATTTTACTTCTACATTTATTTTTCATCTCTAGTTTTTCTTTTTAAGATTGTTTTAAATATGAAGTTTTGATGTGGATAACACTATACATTATAATGAAGTACCAAAAGCAATGGGTGAATGTATAGATGTTTGGAATGCAGTAATAGTACTTAAGTAAAGGATCTGAATCCTCCTTCCACTGGGGACATGATGGTGTCCAGCTCTTACCTTGGTGTAGTACCCAGGATACATCTTCTCTGTGATCGGTGCGATGTACTCCAGCAGTAATTTGTGCCACTCCTTTTCAAAGTTGATTTGGTTCATGTGGATATCTATCGTCGGCACGTTCTCATAGCCGCCCTGGATTCTGACGTCCTGAGAGAGGAGGAAATGAAAATAGAATAAGAGCCACCACATGACCTACAGCAAACACACATTATAGAGAATGGCTGCTCAATATGTCATCTCTTTATCAAATAAGAACTAACCAAGAAGCATGCAGAGCTTACATATTATATTCATTACATTAATCATCCATTTCATTAATACATACATAATGAAATAGTTTAACTTATTATTATTTTTATTATTAATTGAAGTAATTTCAATATAATAAATGACATGATATTAATGTTATACCATTTGATATTTTACTGTTATCTACAGGAGGCTCAAAGGAGGGAATTTATCACGATATCTGACATCCTTCAATAACGTACCGTATTGCCTCCTCCTGACCACTTCCCAAAATGCTCCATTTCTTCAACAATGTGATCACAGGCGACATCGGAGAAAATAGGGAACCAGTACACATCGGGACAGGGCTGAGGGACAGAGGACACTGGTTACCACAGGACATCTTCACCACTGCTGCACTGATATCACAACATCTGTCCATGTCTTTTTATATGCAACTCCTTTTATAAATGAGAAGCAGACACATGTGTTTTACTATATCATGTGTAACCATGGGATTTCTGTCAGCTGGTGGAGCACTCACAGTCTCGATCAGCTTGTCTCTCATGATGTAGGTGTAGTTCTCATGGATGTAGCGCTCCTGCCAGTCCTGAAGGAGACAAACACAGGGCACAAACTGAACCACTGCCACAAGCAGGGCCACACTACTGATAGAAAAAGTCAAAGGCGACCATGACTTTGGCTTCCCACAAAGAAATCAAAACACGATGAACTGCGATATCAACGCTTAACTCTATTTCGATGCAAAGATGCTTAATAAGCAGGACTGTAGAACAATGTGGAAGTGGAATCGGAGCACTGTTGATTTAATACTGGGTTAAAAGCATTGGTACAATGTTATTTAAGAACAGAATCCCCCTTGACAATTAATGAAGTCATCTTTATCTTTTTTGTATTTCTAGAAATGCATCATGAACATGCTTGTGGAGGAGAGTACGTTTGAAATGACAAGTTTCACTTTGGGTCAAATTTGTAACGATACAAATTTCACATGCAAGTACGCATGTTCTAATGGACATGACATTACAGGTCCATTTAGCTTGATACTTGAATATGCTTTAACCTGTTAAGCCCTGAGCCTGTTTTTCAGGTCTCAGGCTCGAAAATGACATTCCCAGAACAAATGACCATATCTTCCCTTCTAAAAGGGTTAAATTAATAATCTTTTTTCTCAAAGTAATGATAAACCTGTGAGTTGGATGTAGAAGAGTCAGAATCAATATAGATGTTTTTTATTTTAAAGATAATTCAGATTGAACATAGTAAAAAACTGTAAATTATAGTGTCCGTCCAAAAATTCTTTTTTACTTATAGTGAAAACTACCCTTGGATGATGGGTTAGTAGACTAAAAGCTTTAGGAATCCAAAGTACAACATATAATAAGTACCCTGTATCAAGATTGATGCAAAACAAGTGAAATTTGACCTTTTTAGAGAGGTTTAGCAAAAATAAACTCCACCTCTGAGGTGATTTGGGTGGAAATGGGGGTTTTATTGCTCATGGATTATCAGAAATCATTTCAAAGGGACACAGACACATTGGATTAACTTCAGCAGCGTTTTTATCGTTTTAATGCCATTGAAGACCACGTTTGACCAGACTACGACACAAGGTAAACCATGTTAGCATTTTTAGCTACCTAGCGCCACATGTTTTGATGTCTGTTTTTGTTTATAAAGTCGCGATTTCGTATAATTGAGTGATAATGAGGGAACCCTTCGATTCTGTGTCACCTCACAATGTGAAACGATGTCATGGATGTGCAGAAAAGATAAATAATAAGGTTTTGTGAGTGAATTTCGGTGCAGTAAGGTGTTTTTTCGCTCGTTGCTAATTCAGAGGCTCAGTGTTAGCATTGTGGGTTTTATTTTGAAAAATAAATAAAAATGATCAGTTAGATGAGTTTCTTCCCGTTACATGGATATAAAACATTCATAGTTTATTAAATGAACATGCCCTCAGACACTGTTTCCTGCAAGATGTTGGGGCATTGCCCCGGAACCGGGGTCTCTCGGGCTTAACAGGTTAAGGCCCCCGCAGTTGGCCCCCGGGCTTTAGTTAGGACACCCCTGGTTTATACACACAATAGGCGCTTTCACACCGCAGTACTTTTCCCACAAAGGTTCATCAGAACTTAGTTCATGAGAACTCTTTAGTTCTCATGAACCGGAATAAGTCCCTGAGGGAGGATTAGGCAAATGAAGCCGCTGACGTCACTTCTTCTTCTTCTGCTTTGGGTTTACTGGCAGGCAGCAAACAACTTCACGGCGTATACTGCCACCCGGAGTCCCCGGCCGGAAGTCCCCGGAGTTGGGGACTGGCTTCAGTAGAAGCTGCTGGGACTCCCAGCAGCTTCTACTGAAGCCTTCAGAGTAAATCGCCAGAACGCCGACACCTCCTCATCTCCACCGCTCCCATGTTTTATTTTGTGTAGCCATAAGTTAGTCTCTCTGCGTTTGTGCGCTGGGCTAATGCTAATGCTAATAACGCTAATGCCAGGATAATAAAATGGCAGCTTCACAAAACTTTTTGGGAGTTTTACGGGGCGTGGTTTGCATTCCGCCCAGCCAATCAGACATAGGAACCTTTTTCTCCCATGAAAGTACCTGCTCTCTAGCAGGGACGGAAAACTGACGGAAAAGGGGGTAAAAAGCTTCTCATGAACTCATTTTAGTTCCGGCTCTTTTTGGTGTGAACGCAACATTTCGAAACTATATCGGAACTAAAGTGGAAAAAGTACTGCGGTGTGAACGCGCCTAATGACCTAATGAAGGCCATTGCAATAACCAAGAACCCCCCTCATCACATCTTATAATATGAACAGTCTCACCACTGGGTTTTCAAAGATCTGCCACAGGTCGTTATGGAGATGGCTGGTCTGGTAGGTCTCTGTTGACACGATGCGACCAAAAGTCTGCATGTTGGTCACAAACATGAAGACTCCCTGAGAGAAAGAAGAGCATCAGATCAGATATTTGACATCTACAGTTATAAACATCCATGTTTTTTAATTAGATCTTAGACCAAACAGATGACAGAATAAGCAGAACATTTTGAACAAAGTGAAATGATGAAATACATGTACTACTACTGTTGTTAGTGTATAAAGAATGTTGTCAGTGTCTCTCACGGACCTGCTTGCGGATGTTGTGGCAGAAGGCCATGTCGGGGTCTAAGATGTCTGAGTTGAACAGATCGAACTCAGTGAGCTCAGACCGGAGCAGACTGGCCTTCACCAGGTACACACTGGACACATACGGGACATTCCACACACCCCTGGAAACAAGAACATCTGAGACAAAGTACACACCGACACCGAGGTCTAACAGCAGGAACACAGTGTAACTGAGAGAGAACCAGGCCTGAATGAGAGACAGCTTATAGAATATATGATATGCTATTTAAGTACGTTTGCTGATCCGCTCCTGTTTTCACTTGTTGTTGATGCAACTACAACACTTCCTGTGTTTGTCTTTATATATATATATATATGTCTTTATAAAGCTTAATGTTCATTTCTATAGAAGCACTACAGTAGAGCCTACACAAAAACACCTCCTTTCATTTGAAATGCAAACAGGAAGTGTTTGATTAAACCAGGGGTGTCAAACTCAATTTCATCACGGGCCACATTCGCATAATGGTTGCACTCAAAGTGCCGGTTGTAACTTTAAGACTATATAAAAATACATATATAAATATTTAATATATATAAAATAATGTATTATATTACAGCATTGCCTCTGCATTGGATTATTATCGGATAGGGTAATAACTTCATAATTAACTCGGTCTGAAAGCAGAAGTCTGGGGCAAATAATTGCAAGTCTCTTCAGTGAGAATGTCACAAAATGATTTTAAAAGACATTTTGAAAAAAAGTCAATTCTGAGAAAAGGGCAAATTCTGAGAAAAAAGGCATAATTAGAAGAAAAAAAGTCAAATCTGAGAAAAGGGCAAATTCTGAGAAAAAAGGCATAATTAGAAGAAAAAAAGTCAATTCTGAGAAAAGGGCAAATTCTGAGAAAAAAGGCATAATTAGAAGAAAAAAAGTCAAATCTGAGAAAAAAGTCAAATTTGAGATGCATTGTGCTCCATGTATGGGCAATGTGCTTCTGTAAATCGCCATGTAACCATATAACAAACATATTATATTCTTTGCAAGCTCTTGTAGGGCCACATAAAATGAAGTCGCGGGCCGGATTTGGCCCCCGGGCCTTGAGTTTGACACCCCTGGATTAAACAGTAACTTTAAAAAAGGTGAAATGAGACAATTGGATATATTTAGAAAAGTCGTGAGCTATAATTACAAGTTAAATGACGTATTCCTATTAAAAATAACCAAATGTGACATATATATATAATTTATTAATTCAAAAAATGTTTAGGCATCACTACTGTTAGCTTTGATTTCATTTGGTGAAGCACTGCAGTTTTCTACAACGACTATGTTCTATTCTATATCAAAGAACTCATTTTACAATCAAAAGAGATATTTAAGCATCTTACACTCTGCGTCCTTGCACTATGTCCACGTAGTCCTCAGACCTGGCGTAGTAGCCTTCTGCACTGAGGGCCCCCCAGAAGTTGCTCCACAGTCGGCCAGCGCGAGTTATCATCGGGGCCACAAAGGGACTAAAGAACAATTCAAGTGTTACTATATGAATACATCCAATCAAATACAAATAATAGAAACGTGCAAATAAAAAGAGATTTACTCTCCAAAGACATCAGCGAGCACAGGATCATTGTTTACAGTTGAATATAAATAAAGTATACTTGCAGGTTTTGTTCAATGAGAATTTTGAGTGTGTTTTTGTTCTTTAAGACCACTTCAATGTCCAAGGTGAAGAAATAGTCACAGCCCTCGTCTTTCCGGCACACATCGCTGGAAGGTAGAAGATAAATATGTTGCGTGAACACATACTCTGTCAGACACCACACGTTCCTGCATGTTCTCCAACATGCTGCACCAGCCTGCATACACTGCTCAGCAGTACTAACAGATCAATGTGCACATTCAAAATACAAAGATGACGTTCAGCCCAGAGGGGGGCGGTCAGTGAATGACTGCAGAGAGTTTTAAAATGTTTCTTTAAGATATAAATACTACAAGGTTTGCATGGTAAACCAAGAACATATCAAACACACACACCATCATTAAAGTATGGGTGCGGTTGTATTTGTCAATATTGCTTTGGAAGGTTCCTAACGGAGTGAAATGACCCAGAAGTTCCTCAGTGTCAACCACGATAAGAGCTGGATATAAACACGGATCATGTAAGATACGCTGCTTGATTAGCATTAACTTTAGCGTAACTTGACTTGAAGTGCTTCTTTGTTTTAAACTTTCAACACTATATTAAAGGTCCCATGTCATGGACATTTCTACTGATCATAATTCCATTGTTGAGGTCTACTAGAATAGATTTACATTGTTCAATGTTCCAAACTCACATTGGTTTCTCATACAGCATCTCTGTATAGTATGTGTATTCACTCTCTGTCCTACACGGCTTGTTGGAGCTCCTGACCCCCCCCCCTCCCTATGAGCACACTTTCCTGTGATGTGTGTTTATGAGTTACAATGGCGTTTGTTAGCAACCAGGAAATGACACCAGTAATGCCAAACAGATGAGAATGCTGCGTGGGGTCTGGGTGCTGTGTTGGCGGGACGTTGTGCGGCTCGCTGCTCCGCCCTTTGAGGCTCAAGGAGCAGACAGTGTGAGCTGGATTACTGGTGTCGTTTCCTGGTTGCTGCGTGGGGTCTGCGAGACAGCGAGACACCGCTGAACTCAGCCTGAGTGAGTGTGTGTGGGTGCGGATTGGTCCATTTGTAACTTAGTGACGTCAACCTTCCCCGAAAGAAACAAATGGAAAAAGAGAAATCTCCAACGAGGCGTTCTGGGGCAGCATAGACAGGTCTTTTCTGTGTTAGAGTTTTACTCGCTACAGGGTGTACTTTGAGGGTTTGTGACTCTGCAGACCGTTTACATGCAGAAAAAGCTTCATAACACACAAGGGGACGGGTAATAACCAGAAAAGCATGACATGGGACCTTTAAACCAAAATATTAACGTTATGCTAATCTGTGTAAAATAGTCCAATAAAACTAATATTTCAAGCTGTATATTAATTTGTGATGGGTTTCTTAAACCTTGTTCAACATGTTTGAATGGTGATATGCACCGTGATAGATGTGTAGGCCTAATAAGTTATACATATAATGCATATACATTTAATTGAATCAGAATATTTTCGTACATCAATAACATCTGCTGGCAAATCATAAAAGAGTTGCTCAGTCTAAGTGCAGTTGGATTCTCTCAGCACAGCAGTCTCTTTCCCTAAGTCCTGATACATTCTCCTTCACATCTTTCCGTAACCCTATGACGTTTCTCCCTGAAGTTTAGGAAAAGTGTTTAGGAAAACATATGATTGGACCAGATTCTTTTGGACAGCAACCCATGAATTCTTAGCAGATCACAAATGATTTGAATACTTTAGAAATACTCAAGATGTGTCATACAGCTGAATGTATGGAACTCACATGGCCAGGTTGCGGGAGGCAGCAGTGTCCATCTCCTCCTCAGGCCCGCTCACCCTGACATCCTGATAAAGGCTCCCATGATCCTTCAGGAAAAGGCTGACCTGACTCTCATGATGAGCTTCCTGGAGTGAGAGTAGAAATGAAACAGATAGAAAAGGAAGTACAGGGAAGAAATCTGGGATATGTGGACTTCCTTGTTAGCTACAGAAGACATGTAACAATGACACTGTTTTGAGCAGGAAGTTAGGGTTAAGATGTATATGTCCTCCTGTTACCTGGTTGTGGATGAAGAGTTTCAGTCTGTTCTTGGGGTACTGGAGCTTCAGGAGGCGTTCAAAGAACACCGTAACAAAAGGGGTGGGCTTCTGAATGAAGATGCCGATAAGCACCAGTGGGTACTCGCTCTCCTGTTGGATATAAACAAACAGAGAAAAGGCTTAATACTTCCATTTGCCCGCAGACTAAACAACCTTTTGATTCAATGTGGCAAATCTGGAACATACAAGATATAATGAAGAAGCCTGTGGACTGACCTGAAGATCTTCCAGTGGGAGGAGCCCCTCATTACACGCTGTGCATCCTGTCTCAAACGTCCATATGTTGGGGATGTAGTTCCCCAGGTAGTTGATCTGGAGCTGGAATAGAAATCACATCTCTATAAAACATCCATTATGTATTAGAAGAAAAAGAAAGTCATTTTGTTTTATTCTTGGCATAAGAATGACTGTTTGGTTAGCAGTGGTGTATAAGAACAAAGAGCACAGTCATTCACATCAAACAGAGATGTTATCTTGTTCTGTGTGCAAAGCTGATATTTGCTATCCAGCGTCTTTTTGGCTGCTCATTCAGAAAGCTCAGGACACTACAAGACCAGACAGTTACAAATCAAATGGCTATAGACAAAGAACGTATCTGCGTGTTTAGGCTGAGAAGCACATTCCTATTGTTATATGCTGAGACAAGTGAAGGAGGGGCAGCGGAAAGAATGTGCAATAAGATTTCAGTTGTAGGAAGTCAACAGTTTGATGGGGTGTTTATAGGTGTGTTTATCTGCTTTGAAGTGTTTGTTACTGACAGACTGCAGAATGAAATCATCATTCTTTCCTCTGGATGAAGTGATGAGTATGCATCTTCAAGTTTCAATCCTGCAGTGGTTAAATTCAAATCAATACATTTACCCAAGTATTGCACTTAAGTACTATTTTGTAAGATAAGATAAGATAAGACTTTATTTGTCCAGAGGGAAATTGTTGTTTCAGAGTTACAAAGATACAATAAACACAGCAGCATAATAATAAAAGTAACAATTATAATAATAAAACGGTATACTAACAATGTAGTCAAAAGAGCAAATTAAACAAACATATGGGTCAAATAACAGTATTGTAATAGTGCTAAAGTGGCAGATTGGTCATTTGCTAGTTAACACTGGTTCTTTACTTGATTATTTCCAAATTGATGATATTTTGTATTTCTACTTCACTACATTTTGGAGGAAAATAGTGTACTTTTTCTCCACTACATTTCTTTAACACTTGTAGTTAATAGCTACGTGTTCCCTTTAAAAACACCTGACATGTTGTATTATGTGTTGTGGTACTGTACTGCTCATATACCCAGTATTTATGTATTTACAACATTTGAAAGCTCTGAAATGTATTTCTAAGCGATACAAACCCAATAATATAAAATTCTATTACAATATAATACTTTGAAAAGAGTCATAGTGCATCATGGGTACTTTTGATACCCTAAGTACAGCTAAGTACAGCTGATACAGTATATTAGCTGATTGCTGATAATACTTCTGTTCTTCTACTAAGGTAGCATTTTGAATTCAGGACTTTTACTTGTAATGGGGTATTTTCAGACCAAAATATTTCTACTTTTACTTCAGTAAAGGATCTTAGTACATCTTTAGCAATCCTGACACATGAGGAAGAGTGTGATATGTCAGACTCTGCACCACCTGCTGACCCTCCAGCAGTCCCCCTGGGGGGTTAACCTCACTGGGCTGCTGTATTTATCATGTGAGGGTCCCGGTGTTGGACAGGTCCATATTTACAGTCTGTGGTCAGTACCTTGGTTGGTCCGTTCCCATGGACGACCACAGGCAGGGTGTCATACAGAACATTCCTGGCACGTACACGTCCATCCTCAAACTTCAGCACCACCTCATCTGGAAACACACACACACACACACACACACACACACACACACACACACACACACACACACACACACACACACACACACACACACACACACACACACACACACACACACACACACACACACACCACACACACACACACACACACACACACACACACACACACACACACACACACACACACACACACACACCACACACACACACACACACACACACACACACACACACACACACACACACACACACACACACACACACACACACACACACCACACACACACACACACACACACACACACACACACACACACCACACACACACACACACACACACACACACACACACACACACACACACACACACACACACACACGTTCTGTAAGTAAGAGGCAACTCACTGTCATTGTCTGTAAGGCTGGCAGTTAACTGTTTTATTTTCAGATATAATCTTGGATTATGAAAACCAGATAAAATGATTATTGTGTTTCAATCCATTTCACAATGATGTTTGTGTTTAGTCTGTTCCTCTTTTACCATGTCATCATCATTCATATCTAAATAACTCATGCGTTTATGATAACATTATTTACAAGAGCACAACATTAGATCCAGCCTTCATTTTGCTCTTAAGATGCACCTGATTGATTCATTTAACTACAGCCACACTTTAAAGTGACTCGTTTTGTTTCACAGCGAAATTGACATCGTAATTCCAACGGTTTGGGCGCGAATTTAAGGATATTACACCTCACTTTCATAAAAATCGAAAACCGGATCTGATTTCTGTACGGTATACCGTAGCCGCCAGTAACCGGTATTTCGGTAATACCGGGAACCGGTATGCACCCCTAGCTGGAAGGCCTGTCAATCAGGATGGATGAGCCGGGGATTATGTTGTCTACATGATGTATGATCTGTATTTGATCTGTAATTGGAGAAGGAAGTCATATAAAAACTAGTACTGACACTGTATTTAAAACGCACCTCTCACATCATTTTCTTCATTTGTAATTATAGATCTCTCTCTGTGTATGTCCAATGTATGAGTCATCAAAAAGAGACAGAGCGAGCAGCTGTTAACAGAAGAGTTTATTGAGGGGGTTTTGGGAGCCATGCCCGTAGACTATGATGCTGTCACATCCGTCTCTCAGTGAACTAACACATTCCTTCATGGCCTCAGAGAGGAGAAATGCTGCACACACTGCAGAGGGCTCAGCTCCTGCCCAAACGTGCAGCTCTGCCTGAACAACAGCAACCGTAAACCCCTCAGCTCTGGACCCTTAGGTGTATTAAACCAGGTTTATTAGAAGATGTGTGAGGTATTGTGTTTGCATTTAGCAGGGCTTTAAAGATCAGACAGAGAAAGAAGCACAGCGAGGAGCCGGAAACAAAGAGTTTTCTAAAAGAGGTGAAGAGTGATGTCTATTCAAAAGCATTGAAAGGACATGTCATTACATAAGCAACACCTTACTGTGACTGATATATAAGGAGCCCACTAGCTCAATACCTCACCCATGAAGTGATCCTAATAAATAAAATATGCCATCACTATGAATCTATATGATGATATTAGAATGAAGATAAGATAATAATAATAATAAATGTATTGACTGAGTCAAAACATTTTTAAGGTGCAAACTTGAATATAGGTATTGTTTGTTAATGACAGCAATGTGTTAAATATAGTAGATACAACCCACAAATAAACAATGTGCTGTGAATACAGGGGGTATTATGTGTTATTAAAAAATATCTCCTAGTTGAATGAGCACAGTTTCACCCAAACGTCCTTTCTCTTTCTTTACTGTACACAAGGTCTTAACTGTATCCCATGTGTTATGTATGCCTTGTTACCATATCATTTCTTCAAATGAAAAGAAAATCTAGAAAACAGAATCTGCCATTAACAATTTTAACATTTAACAACAGAGACCTGTGAAACAAAGCAGGGCACTCACCGAGGGCTCCATGGAGGTTCTGGAACATTCTGCATTTGTTGTCCACTGTGATATTTATGGATTTCTGAAACGTGGAAACACAGCTTTAATGTACATGTTGAAAAAATAATATCTAAAAGCATAAATTCCCAAAACTTAAGTATGAAATATAAGCTGAAGGTGCGGCCTGCACACAAACTCAAGGCTGGGTAAAAAAACATTTAGGGGGGGGGCTGACTTATATTGAGCTGACAGGGTAAATTCAGTATAAGAAGTTATGTCATACTCAGCATTATTCTGAAGAAACACTGAAACTGTTCCCATCACTACTTCATTCCAGTCACTTCTTCTCCGTTTGGTCTCAACCTGCAGTTCTTCAAATGAAAAGCCTGACAGGAAATGAGTGACTATGCCTGAGGAGCTACTGAAAGACATTTCATTTGAACATTACTGCAGAACATTTTTTTTTTTGTCTCAATACAGCCACTTCACAAGGCTGAAAACATTGCAAAGTGGAACTATTAATACATTTTTTTTATCAGAATTATTGTGTAGGGTACAAGTATTGGGACAAATTGTATCTTGATGTTTTAGCAACATTGTTTTTTAAACTTTCATGCCACAAACCGCATTTCGAATTTGGATTTAGTGATTTGGAAATGCCAAAATAAGATAAAATACAAGGGAAATACATGCCTCAAATAAAAGCCTGGTTCTGTCTTAAATTGAGGCACATTCTATTAAAGACTTCTATTGTTCAAATCAATATATTACATTACATGTTACTTGTTAGACGCTTTTATCCAAAGCAACTTACATACTCAATACTGTGAGCAATCCCTACAGGAGCAATTTGGGGTGAAGTGTCTCAGGGACACAACGACATGCTGACTGTAGTGGGGTTTGAACCTGTGCTCCCCTGATCCGAACACCTACGCTCTAGCCACTGCGCCACATGCCTCCCTGTATATATAACAGTGTTAAGTACCCTTTTCACAGGATCGATGTAGATGTTGGTGAAGAACAGCTGGTCACTGTCACTGTCCTCTCCCTTCCAGTCAGCAGCCATCTCTCTGATGCTAGGAAGGTAGCCAATGAAACCTGAGGACAGAAACACACCCAGAGGAAACAGACAGGAAGTGAGAAAAAACGATGGAAGTGGAAACCTGTTCATCCAACATGTTTTTTTTCCATATTCATGCAAATGTACCATTGTGTCTACATTCAGGTACATCAAGGAAAAAGTGATGTCAACTGTTTCTAATGGACATGACTAATGACTCCTGCCAGCTTCAGTTTTATGGGCTCAGCTCAGAGCTGCCTGCTGCTTCTCTGCTATAAGAAGAAACAACCAAATCCTGCCTAAACCAAAACTGTCCAGTCACACCAGCGGATGGTAAACATTAACGTTTTAACAGATGTGCATGGCGTTTGTACACTGGAGGGTGTAATGGGCAACATGTTCATCACTTGTAAGATATTACAAATCATACGTAGCTTTGTGTTTGAGATGTAAAGGAATAAGCCAGAGAGATGCGGGATGATTTGGGTATATGATCATGTTCACTCAGTGGTGCTCTGTCACTTTGCCCTATAGTTATAAACTTTTGTATGAGCAGGATACAGTATATCTGTCCCCTAATGTCAAGTATTGATACACTTAAGTATTGCAAATGTATTTTTTGTAATACTGTATTGGTTGTCCAGAACAGTGTCAATATTTTATTATTGGTTCAAAGTTTAATGAATTAAATAATTTAGTTACCTTAAGACTTCAGTAAAAGCCTTTTCTCTTAGGCACTACATCCCCTTGCTTACAGTAACCCAAAATAAATGTAATTGTAACAGCTGCATTATGACTCGTATTGTAGGAGTGGGGGAAATCATGTTATAATCAAGGTGTATTTCTTCTAAGATGGTGAATCGATACAAAACTTCCAAATGTTAGTTAAAAAAAACTTGTTTCTCCAAAAGCAGCAAGATATTGCTAATGATGGACATAAATCCTACACACCACTTTCATACAAATGGGAGATCCCTGACACGATACCAGCTATAAACCCATCCACTATCTCCCTCCAGCTCCCCTTACCCCACATTAGCAGGAGTCTGTCCCCCAAAAAATAAACCTGCCTTCCACTCCACCCCCATTACAACAACAAACCTCTCTATTCAGGAGGAGGACGTTAAAAGACTGAACCCCCGCAAAGCAGCTGGTTCAGACTGTCTGAACCTCTGCAACCGACCACTGTTTTGATCTTGTTACAGAGTATTGTGTGCATGTGCTGTTATACCTCTGCTGTTAAAAAGGGTAAGTTCAAGCCCTAAGAGGAGGGAGAAGTACTCCGATCTTGTACTTGAGTAAAAGTAGAAGTACCAGAGTGTAGGAATACTCTGTTGCAAGTAAAAGTCCTGGATTCAAAAGGTTACTTAAGCAAAAGTACATAAGTATTGGCATCAAAATATTCTAAGTACCAAAAGTAAAAGTATTCATTGTGCAGATTGGTCCATTTCAGAATAATATATATGATATGTTTTATAATTATTGATCATTAAAGTGTTCTCAAAGCTGGTAAAGGTGCAGCTAGTTTGAATGACTTTGTATACTGCAGGGTAGCTTGTGAATTTACTCCAGGTGGAACTAAAGTCTGATTTAACACTTGGTTATATTTCACATCATTCATCCAGATCTGTAAAGTAACTAAAGGGATTAATTACATGTAGAGGAGTGAAAGTACACAATTTACCTCTGAATTCTAGTGGAGTAAAAGTACAAAGTAGCAAAAAATGGAAATACTCAAGTAAAGTACAACTATCTCAAAATTATACAAAAAAGTACAGTACTTGAGTAAATGTACTTAGTTACTTCCTACCTCTGCAAGCCCCGGTCAAAATGAAGCCTCAATATCACAATACTAATTTTCTAATAATCACTCTATTATGATTATCAGGGACTTTATTCCCCTGCCTCATCTTGATGCTGTGAGTAAGCATCTCCTGAAAGGACAAATTCAGGTCCACCCAATGTGAGAGCCTGACAGGACCGGTCTACGTACCTCCTGAGCCTAGGAACCGGTTGCCCTCGGTGACGTGGGGGTGTTTGTCCTCCAGGTGTCTGTCGGGCCAGATCAGGCTCTCGGAGGAGAACACCACCTTGTGTTTGGCCTGCTGGAACTTCTTGAGCAGCTCTTTGGGACCCGAGGAGAAGACCACGTCGTAGCTGTGTGAAACAGGGAGGGAAGATAGAAACACTTTGAGAATTACGAAGCCAGTGGTTAAGTTTATTAAAAAATATGTGGTTGGGTTGATTGAGTTTTTACTGCAACTCCCACTTATATGATTATTACACTAATTTAAAGGCTGCATTACAGATAGTTTAATTTGAGGAATTTGCTGATTTTCTTTACCATCCAGAAGTGAGATGAGCATGTAGCTACCGATTACATTAAACGGGTTTACATCATCAGAATACAACAAAAGATAACTTTGTTGTTGCTCCTCTTCTCACGCGAAAAAATACATAATCAGACTGTTGCATTTCTTAAAAGTGGGGATTACCAGCAGGATGACAATGTTAGTAAAAACCCCAAAAGATCATATAGTGTCTGTTGTAAAGGACCATATGTTGTCTCTTCTCTTAGAGCTGTACTGTTCTGTAGGCTCATACTTTAAGTGTGATATACGCCTACTGCCTGAATCTGCTTTATGGTTTCACTTTCTTTGCTTCATTTGTTCTGTTTTAATTCAGCAGGTGAATCTATGTTCATAAAATAGTGTGTGTGAGCTTAACTGTGTGTATTGGGCGGCAGTGGTTCAGTCTGTAGGGGATTGGACTTTGGACAGAAGGTTCACGTCCCGACCAAAAGATACGGAGTGTGGACTGGTACTGGAGAGGAGCCAGTTCACCTCCTGGGCCACTGCCGAAGTGCCCTGGAGCAAGGCACCGAACCCCCAAATGCTCACTGGCGCCAGCTAGACTGGCTGCATCCGCTCTGACCTCTCAACTGCATGTTTGCATATAACTGTGTGTGTATTTGTATGTGTATGTGCATGATGTAAAACATGTGTACTGTATGTACCTGTATAAAAACGCATGTGCATCTTCTTCTTCTTCTATTAAACTAAAACGTTTTCTGTCAGTTCAGATTTTATTTCTGCTTTTTTAAACTGTAGTATGTGCTCATGTGTTTCAGTGTTGGTGTATAGACTGCTGCCTGAATATGCTTCATGAAACGCAGCTTTTCCTATAAATAAGATCATTTCTGATCCTAAATATCTTGGTTTCTTCTTTTCTAAGGTCACATTGTTCTGTTGTTTTACATAATACACTTAAGTATATAAAAAAAATATGTCTCTCTTGTTTATTTGCATTACATTTCATATTGACATAATCCAAAAGTAATGGAAAAGTAATCAGATTACATTACTTTTATATTTTGACACTCAGATTAAGTTACTGATTACATTGTTTACAGTTAATAAGTAAGTGTAACGGAATACAATTTTAAAGTAATCCTCCCAACCCTGTATTTATATATATACAAGGGTGTAACTTTGGTTTGAGAAGTGGGGGGGACACAAAACAGGGGGTCCTCCGCAATGAAAAATGTTCTCAATTTAATTTAATTTCCTGCCTTTCTACAAATATATTAGGGACTATAGTGTTAACAAATCCAAGAAAAATGTGTAGTGTATATAATGAGTGTGCACACTTATCTAGTATCCTATCCATGTGAACCTGTTTTATTTGTGATGACCTCACATCCTCTAGGGGGGTCCCGAGGCATGCACCTCGGGAAGATTTTCTTTAAATCGAAGCTAAATGCATCAATCTGGTGCACAAATGAAGAGATGTATGGATACAGTTCTCAACACTCATATAAAACAGAACTGTATATATTTCAATACTCCAAAAAACATTAGAATATGCTCACAAGCAATAACACATCATTGATAAACTCCTCTCTATATCTTTATCTTACCTAGTCTGCTTTCTTTCTTTTTATTTATGCATATTTGACTAATCACTCCCCTTTCAAACTGTGTTTTTTTATTTTTGTACTGACCTATAGATAGTACACATTGGAAGGATTTCTTAACTTATTTTATATACAACTATATATTACATAGATGGAAATATTTGTTTACATAGATGACCAAACCGTTTGAGACCCACTGAGATAACTAGACTAAAGTTTACAATCTAATCGCTCAGCGAGTTCTTTACCTCCCTGAGCGTTATCTCTCTCAGTCCGACAGGAGAGAGCTCTCCCTCTCCTTATTGTTGAAACAGCTTCTAATTCTACGTTAGCTCCGAGCTAGCACCAGATGCTAACAACAACCCAATCCTCCGTGACGATGACCGCTTGCGTAAAAAATAAATAATAAACACATTTAAAAAGTGGGGGGGACACAAATGGGATTTTGAAAAGTGGGGGGGACATGTCCCCCCTGTCCCCAGTGGAAATTACGTCCATGTATATATATATATGTATACTGTATATATATATCACTGAATAACAATCATATCAAAAATGTAAATGTGTGGATTTAGGGGCTATGTGCTGGATCTATATCTTGATGAACTGATCTTGATTGTCTGTGAAGAATCTGCAGCTACATGAAGGCTCTTGTCTCTGAGCTATGTCTGTGGATATCTGAATATCTCACTCTCTTATCTTTTCTTTCTGAGAATGATGTGTTGTAATGGATATTTGAAGATATCAATCTCAGAGAGAAAACTAATATTTTAGTGATGTTTGCCTACTCAGAGGCAACGGAATGCAAACAATGACAAAGTAAGAATGAGATCTTACAGATACAGTCTGAACATCCTTGAGTTTGAGATGTTCAGATTGATATCATATTGTATATAACGTGTATTATAGCGTATTCATAACCACAGAACAGTAACACATTGTCAGTTGTAAACCCACCTGGTGTTAGTTTAAATGTTCAGCAATAATGACTTTAAGTGTCAGGGTGTTACTCTGGCCATCACTGCTGACAAGCACATTTGAATCTGAATGTTTGCCTGTGGTAAAGACACTGTACCTGTCAGTAAAAAGGATGATTGTGTCTTCATTCTTCATTTCCTGCAGAGCCTCTTTCAGCAGTCGTACCTTCTGGCCCCCTCCTGTAGCCGACATGTAGTCGCCTGCTCTCCATTTTTCACGCCGACCAAGAACCTTATAACATACACACATTTACTGATAAGATTAATTCCTAAATGCCTTACTTTCTGCTCCAAAAGTAAAAATATGACTTATTTTTTCGACAAAAGTCTCAAATGTAAAAACAAGGATATCATTCAAGTTTACAAATAGAGAGGGTTTACATGGCTAGACAGGATGGAAGGAGCTTGACGCAGCCACAGGGGGTTCCTACCTTGACAGTGTAGTTAAAATGTTTAGCCGACACCAAGAAACGCTTGAAGCCTTCAGTGTCTTGGGTTGCAACTGTCACGATGAGAAGTTTCTCTAGAAGACATCACATTTTAAAGAAAATTAGAAAGGTGAAACAAATGCTTATTTTTTTCTCTCAGGCACAGGCTTCACTGAAAGATACATGCAAGAATATTTACTTTTTTGATATTGTGGAGCAAATAACGAATGAAAATTCACTAAGAAATGTTTAAATAATCATTTTTTTAAAGCAGGCACACACTTTGTAATAAGCACTGTGTATCTGTGAGTGAGGAGGGTTAGTGTGGAGGCAGAGACAGAGGATGAGATTTGTAAATCTATAATATAATATCAATGTGTTTAAGATTAAATTGAGCACAACATAATTAACCAGATGCACAAAAAGCTGCATTGACCTAACTTAATGATGCCTTCAGAGTGCAGCAGATGGATGCATTTATCTGTAACACATTTAGGCTATAAAACTTTCTTTCTGGGGAGCCAAAATGGGTCCACCCACAAGGGTCTCTCAGAATCCTGGGAGCTGCCTGTCTGCACATAATATTTACTATTGTCTGATATTTTGTTCTCCTACTAGGTCATTTATTGTAGCCTACTGTGTCCTATTTAATGTATGTTCAATTCCGGAGGGAGAAGGTGCTGGAAAGCACTGCTATTATTTAAAGGTCAACTTTTTCTGAATACATTCAACAGTTAATGTATTATATAAACCAGAGGGTTTTAAGCAGCAAAAACACATATCTTCAAACTTTTTGAGACAAAGAAAAATCCAAAGTGTGTTCTGTATTGTTTCATAACAGACTTCATACAATATCATCCTACTCCTACACTACACATGCTAATGTAGCCTAGCTGCAGGCTACAGTTGTATTAATAGCGGCGCTGCTAGTAGCAGCCCGTCCACGTCAGCGGCACAGCCTCCTCCTCAGCGGCTCCTACGTGCAACTTTCTCTCCCATGTAAAGAATGGGAATAATGTGAAACTGCATTGTCTTCCCAATACTTCCTTTTAATTTGAAAAGACGTGTTAAACCACAACGTACTTAATGTCTTTTGCGAATTGTAAATTACTTTTCGGCATACTTCAAGCGCCACTAGCAACACATGTATCAACAAATCCCAGTTTTTCTAACGGACAGGCTCTTCTGTAGCTAACAGAAATACACACTATAACTGTGCATTTTTACTATTTGGTTTAGGCTACTTACTGCCAAGTCTTGCTACGGTTTGTAACTTAACCGAATATTTCAGTCGTTTAATGGCTCGTCCATTATCAGGAGTAACGTTAACGTGCGAGTTTTCCTTCCACCGGGACAGCACGAGCTCGGGAGTCCCAGTCAATGCCGACCTCGCGTGCACTTTACTTCACTGTTATAGATGTTGACTTTATCAAACGCCCTTTTTAGTTAAAAATGTGTATAACACGGATGTCAGTGAGTTCTGGGGCAGCATTCCTGACTTTACTCACCTTCGGGGACTCGCTGCTCTTCACAGTTAGTCAGAGAGAAAAGTGGGCAGACAGATAAAGCTAAAAACAAAAGCACGCGCTGAAGTCTCATTTTGCCAAGTTCACGTTATAAAGTCCGTGCACAAGTCCCGGTGCAAACTGGACGGTACACTTCTGCAGCCGGTGCGGAGCGAGGAGGCAAACTTAGCTCGACTGTTTTAAATGTTCCACTATCTGCCCCCCTTCTCCCTCCCTCTCAGTCTGTGTTTACCTCCCCCTCCCTTTCCTTTCTCTCTCTCCATACAACAAACTGTCTGTTTGAACAAGGAATAGGCCTAGAAGAATAGGGGTGAAACAGTAGTGCGTGATTTTGTATGAATGGAAACCCAATGTATTCAATATGAATAAAATAAAATATAAATTAGGTGATGAACTAAAAAACGATGGTTTCAAGCATCATGCCTCAAACTGTATAATTCTGCAACGCCCACTTCCGAAATGGGACGGGAGAAGCTGATGATCCAGCTGTTTTTCGGACATGAGCACTTGCACGTAGCACCCTAAACCTGTGTTTATCTATTTATCATTTCACATTATCTTTTGGGAAGAAAAAAACAATATGTAAAGTCACCGAAAGGTAAAATGATCTTATTAGAGTAGAGTCTTTGGAAATCAACAGTAGCCTTACAAGACAAGTCTATCATTATTGTTGTTCATTTTAACTTGGTATGTCTAATAAACTACTGTTTAGTCATACTCTGTGTTTCCCTGCTGACATGCAGTGGAGAGGGGCAGAGGCGGGAGTACTCAGATCTTGTACTTGAGTAAAAGTAGAAGTACCAGGGTGTAGGAATACTCTGTTACAAGTAAAAGTCCTGCATTCAAAATGTTACTCAATTAAAAGTACAAAAGTAACAGCATCAAAATATACTTAAAGGTGGGGTATGACATTTTGGAGAAACCAGCTCGAGTGCGCTAGAATTTGAAACTACGCAGCCGAAAAAAATCTGCCTCTCAGACTTCCTTACAGAGCCCCTCCTCCAACACACACACGAACGCACACATGTTTCTGAAATAAATGACATACCCCACCTTTAAAGTACAGACATTGTACAGTACTTGGGTAAATATACTTAGTTACTTTCCCCGCTGGAGAGGGGTAAGTAAAGTAACCCAAGTGTGACAAGTTTCTACTAGATTTGTTTAACTCATACTACTGAAGCCTCGTTATAAGAGGTTTGGAAAGCATTTTCATAAAACGAATAATAAGGAATACAATCGTATAATCAATTACGATATATATATTTGTAAGTTGAATAAATAAAAGATTAATTAGAATAAATACTAAAAAGTGTTATACAATCTTTGTTTCCTTGACAATGTACTTTGTTAATTTAAATAAATCATATGAGAACATACAGTACATATATGATTTTGCGACATTTCCGGTCCTTGCTGTGTCGTGTTGCTTTACGACAGTTGTGACAAACCAGAAGAGTTATTTAGGAAGTCGCTGATGTTTTCAACCTGAATGCTGTCGAGAAACCAAATGGCCTGAGAAACAACAACTGGACGAATATCATACACACCCGCTGAAGGATATGGCAATAACCACGATGCCAGAAATAATAACACATTCTATATAGTTTTCCTTCTCAACGCTAGCTAGCTAGCTAAGCTACATTAGCCAAAACCAGCCTTCATCCTGTGGAACCACCACAGAGTCCATGGGATCAACATGTTTTGAACCTAATTCGATGTGACAGCCTAACATTTCTGGGTGCCTTCTTCTGACGCTGACTCCTAGCTGGGCTCCTGTCATTTGAACACCATGTGGCTGCAGCAGAGACTGAAGGGGCTCCCGGGCTTGTTGTCCAGCAGCTGGGCGAGGAGGCTCCTCATCGGGCTGCTGCTCTTCCTCATTTTCTACTGGTACCTGGGAGCGGAGCGCAGGTGGAGCTTCTTCAGCGGCTCGGCCATGCCCGGCGGGGCGGCCGGACAGTGCCTCCTGGCCGAGATCCACAGGTGGAAGTCCCTGGTGGAGCGGGGAGAGGGGATCTACAGCACGCCTCAGGAACAGCTGGATACTCCTTTTGTGTCAGGTAACCAAGGGTTCAAAGGCTTTATTGTCATTATGCAAAGGACCGACAGTGTAGATATGCAATGAAAGTCACAAGCTCCTCCAACAATGCAACATCAATATATATTAGTCATAAAAACTAAAAAAAATAGTGCAAGAAGAAACAGTAGAAATAAAATAGTTCATGTGAATGTTGCTAGACTATTGTGCAAGTAATGCATGAGAAGTTAACTATAAGCAAGTAAAATAGAATAAGATGAGCTAATAATAGAATGTAAAATGAAATGCTGTACAGTGAAATACAATACTGCTTATTGTTATAATAGATAAATATGTGAGATGCAAACAGATGAATGATATGAAGTTGTGAAGGCAGAGATCAGGAGTTCAGCAGTCTGATGGCCTGTGGGATCAAACTGGCCCTGAGTCTTATGGTGTGATGTAGTGAGTACATTTACTCAAGTACTGTACTTAAGTACGATTTCTGGTAATTGTACTTAACTTGAGTATTTTTATTAATGCTACATTATTCTTTTTTAAACAATCATCTAATGCAAAATATAGATCAACTTTGTCATATAATGATAGGTTCAGATATCCAGCAGCAGTATATTAAAACTAGCTGCACCTTTACCAGCTGTGATGAACACATTCATGCATCAATAATCATAATCAAGTCTTTAAATATAAAGTACATTCTATTTAAATACATATACATATACTTTAAGTATATTTTGATGCTAATACTTTTGTACTTTTACCTAAGTAAGACTTTGAATGCCCTTTACTTGTAGCTGAGTACTTTTACAATGTAGTAGTTCTACTTTTACTGAAGTTAAATATCCAAGTTCTTCTTCCAACTCATTTGAAAAGACTTGTATTGGTTATTAAAGCTCTTAATGGTCTTGGGCCTAGCGGATTTGCTTTTGACCTATGAGCCCTAGATCTACAACCCTCAGGTCTTCTGGTACTAGCCTTTGAATTAAAGGATGCTTTTATTTGCAAATGAACCTTTGTGTATGAAGTGCTATATGAATACAGTTTGATCCGTTTTCCACCTCTGCAGGTAACGGCCACATTCTCCTTGACATTGACTCTAACAAGCTGTGGGTGGCGCTGTCCTCCCAGCCCGGCTCGGCTCCGGTCCACCAGACTGAATACTCTCCCAGAGTCAACGTGCATCTGGAGGGGAACCGGGCCGAGGTGCAGGCCACCATGCTGTGGTTCCGGAAAGGAGCCGTGCTGTCGGTCCGCTGCGCCTCACCAACCGAATCGCAGTCAGCCCGGGACTGCATCTCCATCAGAGAGGAGTTCATCGCGCACAGGAGCAGACCCAACGTCTTTCTGCAGCGAATCCACATCAACAACCCATCTGACAGGACCGTGTCTCTGGACGTTTCCTCTGACAACCTGCCCTCTGGTAGCAAGTTCTCCACCAGTGTGGAGAAACTGGAGGACAGAGAGATAATGCTCTCCTCCGGCAGGGTGCCTGTGGAGAACAACCGCATGGTGCTGGTGGTGGTGGTCACCAAGAAGCTGAGCAGCAGGATCCAGGTCCCCGCTAAGGTAGAGCACACGGAGAACATCTTGTCTGTGGTTTGGACCTCGGAGCCGATCGAGACGTCCAAGCTGGAGGAGACCTTCAGCGCCCTCAGAGAGGGAGCCAAGAAGGAGCTGGGGGAGCTGCTGAGGGCCAGCCTGGAGGAGCTGGTGGTGGATCACCAGCAGGCCTGGATGGACCTCTTCATCTCAGGTGAGCAGGGGGGGGGTGGGGCAGTGGCAGGCTCAGTGGCAGGCTCTGGGTTTATTTTAATTAAATGTATTATGTCAACAGATTTCCCGTAACTGTAACCTAATATTTTTGTAACTTTATATTATTGCTTTCAACTAACCTAATACATTTATGTGAAATCTGTTGACATAATACATTTAATTAAAGTCAACGTTGCAGTTTTTTCATTGCAGTAGCACGTAAGGGTTTTATTTTCATCGAGGCCACTACAAATCACATTTAGGTTTACACATACAGGTCATTTGACTTGGTGTATATGGTGTAGGGCTGTGCAATTAATCGTATTTTAATCGCAATTACGATTTTGGCCTGCCACAATTACGAAAACAACATAATCGAAAAAAACGATTATTTTGCTTTGCTTGGTTGTGACAGTGCACTACAACATATTTTAGTCTAATTTATTTGTATTTATCATATTTACATATGTTTAGTAGCTTGTTGAAGTGCGCTCCAAAATATTTGTTGATCTTGTTTATTGGTATTTATTATTTTGATATTATTTATTTAAATGTAAATATAAATGTATCATTTATTTTATTTATTTTTGTATTGGTTTTTCAGTTGAATTATACGTTCAGGGTAATCAACAGTTAAAAAGATACTGTTCAAATTATTATTTGTATTTGTTTTAAAGTTCAATAAATGGATTTTTTCAAAGTCAATGAATAATCGTTTAATAATCGTGATATCAATTATTGACCAAAATAATCGTGATTATGATTTTTGCCATAATCGCACAGCCCTAGTATATGGTGTACTGTATATGGTGCATACCTAAACACAGATACATACAAGAAAAGGACCGAAAAAGACAACTAATTAAAAAAAAACTATTATTACATTAAAATATTGTACATGAAATATATATATATATACCAAAAAACTACATACAGTATCACAATATAAATGTGAGGAAGAACATACAAATCGTCTAATTGGCTAAAACATACCAATACACAGATGTGTACTTTTGAAGTTCATAATAAAAGTTTCAATTTCCATTTAGCATGGCTGTAAAAATACTTTGATCCAGGTTTATATTCACAAGGCAAAATGTTGTAAATGTATCCACATATTGTGAAATGCTGCTGACAGTAGTGTAAACCCTGCAGTGAGTTTATGGCATGCTGCTCAGGTGTCCTGTCAGGAGGTTGGGTGGGTTAATCATTGTGTACACAGCCTGTTGTGTCGTTGCCCCACTGTCTGTTGAACACGCCAGGAGCTAAGCAGATTATTAACCACATTCAGTATTTATATAACATCACCTCTCTTCAGGTGTTTCCGGCTTTACCACAGCTTGAGGGATTCACTAAACAATGGTTAGCTCACTAGTTATCTTTCAAAAATAAGTATAATTCTTACA